AAAATGCTGGAAGGCTTTAAGGAGGGGCTTTTAAATTTTTAAAAAAAATCTTTTATGCCTATTTTAGATATAGTTCATGAATCTCTGAATTCCTTGTGGGAAGGAAAAAGGGGAGAAAACTAAATAGATTCAGCAAGTCTTTTGACATCTATTAAAATAAGGTACAGTTAATACAAAGATGGTAAATATAATGTATCTGAAATTAAGTATCTGTCTTTTTGTTTTCTGGAGTGCATCTAAAAGAAAAATGTTGGAGTATAATCCCATGTTTCTATGTGCCTTGAAGTCTGTGGATCAGTCCAGTAGTGCTACCATATGCTTGCTCCTTCAAATAACCTCATGCACAATTGTTTGCCCCTTCATGCTGTCCAGTGGTGTAACTGGGTAATGCAGTTCACTTTTAAAGTCTTTTGAGCAGAGAAAAGAAATTATATCTATTGTGCTTTTCTTGGTGGGGACGTTGCAGATATAATTTGGCGGTGAATAAGAAGCTTAAAGTTTTAACTTTTTAAAACAACAAACTGGAGATTCAGCTTAGAAAAGTGATCTGAAAAATAGATGCAGTTCGTGTTCTGGAGCTGAAATGAGATACCTATGCTGCTATGGTAGCAGAATGAATAGTTTTCTTATCTGAGTATTTGTAGCTTTTGGTCACTTTAAAGGCAATGGTAGCTGCTTTCACTTCTGAAGTTTAGATCTCCATTTTTCCTTCCCATTTGAAAGTGGACTCATGTAATATATTATTGAAAGTCCTATTTATAGACAGAAGGGCACAGTTTTCATATTCTCAGGTGAAGGAATGAGCAGACCATTGTGGTGGTAAAATTTCTGTTGAAATGTGCACAGCTATGGCATGGATGTACACTCCATGAGAACTGAAGGGGTCCTTTCCCTGCTGTGCGGCTGAGAGCAGCAGCAGATGTTTCTGAGGTCAGGCATGTGTGGTCGTTCTTTAAGAGACTAACATGGGGAAGCAGGATTACAAACTGTAACTTGCCCAAATATTTTTTGCCCTAATGTTTTTGGAGATGGTGTTCTAATTTGGAGATGAGTTAGTAGCAGAGGTGGGCACACACTTCTCAGGTACTTGCTGTAAAGGTAGGGCAGTGGGAGCACTCGCTACATGGGCAGTAGTGGATGGATGTATTGAATCACTGCTAGAGCCACTGACAGTGTGTTAGGAGGTCCTTGCTGAAGCGGTGATAAAGTTCCAGCCTCTCTAAGCATGTTGAGATATGGTATGTTTAATATCAGTTTAAGCACTGTCGACCAGGGCTTTTTTGATTACTTTTTTAGAAGAAAAAATTGAGGACAAGTTGAAAGCATTTCCAAAACCATGACCATGAGCCAAGGGCGTTGCTTCCTACTGTGCAAGTACATGTACATTTCCCTTTCCTTCTCCAGCAGCATGAGACTGGGATAAGTGGAATGAGGTTTTGGATCCTCCAGGTCTATCTTGCCCTACCATGGGCATGCCTTTCTGCTATCAACATCTCTCCATCAAGATATACCTACGCTTCTTCCTCTTGCTTCTCCGCTGCAGTTCTGAGACCCAACATCACTTTTCTGTTTTGCTTCCAAACATTGCTATAAAAGCTCATTACTTATGCTCTGCTTCTTGATTCTTCCTTCTGTCCTTCCACTCTGGTACTGATAATCTCCTTCGTCCTCTGAGCCCTGCTGTGGAGTTACAAGCTCGGTGTTTTGAGTCCCTGGATGTTGTTTTCTCCATCCTCCTCCTGTCTTTGCACAGGTGCCAAACTGAGGAGCTTTCACTATAAAACTTCTGTCTTGGTTTCTGCACCTCCTTCCCAAGCAAACATTTGGAGATGTTTGAGAGAAGCAGCAGTACAGCATTTTCTATTAAACAACTGGAATGAAGTTTTGTACTTATTAGGCAAATTATAATGGCTTTTCAACCATATGCTTGCAAGAGTGGTTTTTCTAGGGCTCCAGCTGGTGATGCTGTCTGTCAGGAGACAACTGAACTATGTCAGGTTATCCAATTAAAAAGTTTTTGATGTTACATTGGGATCCCATCGTGATCTCAGAACTGAAAATAAAGCTGGCTTAAGCTAGAATTCGGTGTACAGATTATCTGATTTCCAGCTACTTTAGCTCTTTAATGGATTGGTAAATTAATCTTAAAAGCATTTCCTGCTTAACATAGTTTTCCTGTGTGCAGAGTGTTCTACCGTATTATGTGGCAACAAAAATGTCCAAAATCCGCAAGGCAACCTTTGATAAGCCGAGTCCTGAAACGTATGTCAGAGCTGCCTTGGGCACGGTGGGGCTGCAGTCCCGGACCAATGGGTACCTACCTCATGCACTCATGGTAAGTCACCTTGGAAGATGTAAGGATCTGAAATGTCCTTTGTGTTTATTATGGAAAAGAGAGTAATTAGTACAAGTTTTAAAATGCTGAGACTTCACCTCCTGATTTTTATTTAATTGGGGTTTTTGTTTGTTTTTTTTTTTAGGGATGGTTCATGTCTCTTCTGCCTACATCTACTGCCATTAACTTAATCATGAAAAAAAACAAACAAATACGGGCTCGTTATTTTAAAAAAATGAAGGAGAAGTAAGTGGGAAGCAACTTCATCTTGGGAACCTGGGACTCCTGCAGATTCCATACCATGCTGCAACATCAAGTAGACCTAATGTTTTAAAGATCTCCAGTTGTAGGTGTGCTTTCTAACAAAGAGAACAGTCTTGTTTTGAGGATACAGATAAAACGAGACTGTTGACTTCTAATATTGATTGAAAAATAGGCTTTATTTGTTTATAGATATTATGAGGGGGGAAGTGCTTTGAACTAAAATTGCATTGTGCATTACAAAATATTTTCATGGACTTGGTCAGACATCACGCTGTTGAGGAACATCTTGGTTATATAGTGTCCATCATATATATTATTGTGCTCATGAGTGAAGGGCAGAAAAAAAGTAGTTCTCAAAGATTCCTGGACAGGTGGGCAGGGAAGGAAAGGGAGCATAATTATTTAAAAAGGTAATCTGGCACTATTTCCTGAGTACTGACCTCTTGAAGCTCAGGTTTTGGATACTTGCGAGGATTCTGCACTATCAGCCAGCTCATGAGTGGTCCCCTGCTTACATGGTCCAGTGTGATTTTTTTGGTTATGAACTAGAAGAAAATGGGCCAAAAACCAAAATAAGTGTAATAACTCATCTATAAATATATACATAAAGTAACACTGCAGAAAGCATTCAAAATCTTGGGTCTTGAATATGGATTCTAACTTTTCAGTAATATGTAATCTTCATGATTTGTAATAACATTTTTAAAAGTTCAGTGCCTGCTCTTTGTAATAGGTGGTGATAACACAATGTAGATAAATGTCACAAGTTACATGTTATGTACTGGTTGCTATGTAACAGATTATGGGTACTTTAAATGCAGAGCTTGAAATGAGTTACTCGTTAGCAACTGTGGTTAAATTCTTTTTGAAGTTATGTATCAGTCTGTCTGGTAATGTCCTTTGAAATATGAATCCTGAATATTTAGACGGCTTTAAAAATGAGAACCAGGAAATGTTGTAATGAGTAGAACAGTTTTAATTTAATTGAATTAAAATTAACTGATTTGTTTCATGGTTCTGTTCCAAAGTGGAATGCTCCTATGAGGCTCAAGTTACCTAACTCCTGGACACAGGGAATAGAGTACATGAGAAGTCTGCACTGCTGTTGTCTGTATTTACCTACTCTTTATTAAAGATTTTGGTCTCTAACATTCCTTTTTATAAACATAAAATGTATAAGACTAGCAAGGCAAATGAAATTGCAAGAAAATACCACTGTTTCCTATGGCTGAAAAGGGAAAGTTTTTTCTGTCCTTCAAAGAATAATTTCAAGCTCTGATTTTGAAGTAAGATGTGTTGCACTGAGACATGATTTGGGGCTAACATTTCTGTACATTGAAAAAACCTGAATACCGATGCAATGGTGCTGATCAAATCTGAGATGCAGATCCTATCCCATAGTTTTCTTAATTTTTTGGAACAGGGATGGTGAGGTTGGTGGTATTAGTTCTCTAAGAGCACGTGATTTGGTTTCCTCTGGATCTGATGTGAAAGCATTGGACTATAAAAATCTGTATGTTTTTGACTTTGTAAAACAAATAAAATGGAAATTACTCTTGAGTCTTTAATGTGTTACTTTTTCTCCTAGAAATGTTTGCGGGTACATGCAAGTGTCTGATTGTCCTTTATTGTGAGTAATTACAGTGAAAATTGCTGTATTTTACATGCCAAAACCAATGCTTATATTAATCCGTTTTCATGGCTGTCGTTTACTCCCTATCTGGGGTGCTTTAGGCACAGCATCTCTGGCCAGTTGAGGTGGGTGACACTCCTGCTCTGCTCTGCACTGGGGTGGCCTCACCTTGAATATCTTATGTGCAGTTTTGAGTACCACAATATAGGAAAGATATAAAGCTACTGAAGAGCGTCCAGAGGATGACTATGAAGATAGTGAAGGGCCTGGAGAAGCAGCCTTATGAAGAACAGTTTGAGGTGACTTGGTTTACTGAATTTGGAGGAGACTTATAGGAGACCTTATGGTCTACAGCTTCCTCACAAGGGGAAATGGAGTGGCGGACACTGATCTTTGTGGTGACCAGTGACAGGAACCAAGGGACCAGCATGAAGCTGAGCCAGGGGAGGTTTGGGTTGGATATTAGGAAAAAAAATCTTCACCCAGAGGATGTTTGGGCACTGGAACAAGCTCCCCAGGGAGGCAGTCATGGCACCAAGCCTGACAGAGTTCAGGAATTGTTTGGCCAACACTCTCAAAAACCACATGATGGGATTTTTGGGGCTGTCCTGTGCAAGGCCAGGAGTTGAACTTAAGATGATCCTTGTGGATCCCTTTCAACGCAAGATATTCTATGATTTTACATAAAATATATATATATGTATATAAAATATATAAAATATATATTTTATATATAATATAGAACATACATAAATATATATATATATATAAAATCAGCAGGATACAAATTTTATTAGAACTGTTAAGCTAGTAATACATATTTCCAAGTAACAATTTTCTAACTATTGAAGGTATTCAGAAGGGTATGGCAGAGAGAATGGTATGCACATCCATCTGGCACAGAGGGAGGGGTGTGCAGGTAAGGAGGTTCTCAGAGCCCCGTGTCCCTTCATGTGGTGGCAGGCTGCAGGTTGGGTTCCCTCTCTCATGCCCTCTGAGGTCTTCTATTTCCCAAGCTGCAGCAGGGAATCACTAATTAATTTTTTATCTAAATTATACTTTAACCTAAATTACCTCGACTTTAATTCTGAATGTGTTCACCTCAGTGATAGAGGAGATAGTGTGGGACTACCCTGGGCACCTGTCAGAAAATAAGAGGGGGTTTCTGGTGGCATCGGTCCCGTCCTCTGCTGGTTCCAAGACTGTTTTTGTTACCGGCGCCATGCAAGGCCTGGAATTTTGGCATTTTGACTCCCTTGTTGGAATGGGACAAGCGGGCAGGGAGGCGAGTTGAGCGCCGCCGGCTGCCCAGGCACAGGGCACCTTTAATTGAAGCTCGGCCCCTGCGTGCGCGGCGGGCGGAGCTGCGGCCGCACGGCCAGGCCCAG